ATATAACAAAAAACTGAAAATGTTTACATGACATTAGCTGATACAATTATTTATATGTATATACATATACATATATTCATAAATATGCTTAATTTGACTAGGGACTCAACCATTTGTCTCCTCTGATCTCCTCTGAAATTACTGTATTGAACGTCTTCCTTATATTTACTCTAAAGGATGAAGCTAGTGGAGATGCAAGATTACAAAGCTTAGGACACATTTTCTTAAATTGATGTGGCTGTGAGCTATAATCTTATCTAACAAATACTGTATATGTGATACTTTTTATTTTAATAAATGTACACAATATTCAGAGCTATATAAAAACTAGTTTCAATTTTCACACAAAATTAACAATATTATTGGTTCAATATTTAACAAAACTTAGTTTTGTTATGGATAATATCAATAACCTATTCTCATATTGGGTCTAAAACCATCCTCTGATAATTGTTTCAAGATAAATTCTGTTAGGTATGTTACATTTAAACATTAAAAAAGCTTGCTTCAAGGACAAGAGTCACAATATTGGACTGAAAATGAAGTTCTCATATTTACTGTGGCATATTAGTGAAATTTTTAACATAGTATATGACTTTATGTATGTATATGCATGTATGTATATTTCAGTTAAAACAAGAAAATAGCCGACACAGAATTCTCCCTTGTAAATTAAATTTTTTGATAATACTGATAAATTTCTTTATACTTCAAAATCAGTCTATAGTTCTGAAGTACAATGAGTTTTGTGATATGAAACAGATGCCAATAAACTGTGCAGTCAATAGCGCCACAAATAGGAATGTAAACTGTTAGAGGAAGTAAAAGCTGTCCTGAAGCAATGGAATTAATTTATGCAGCTCTCATCTCATATTTTGAAAAGTATTGCATCCTCAATCTGCTTTCTTTCCTGTTTATGAATTACCCCAAATAGCACATTGTTCTGAGAATCCCTTGTAGGTTCACAAAACAGAATGAAATATGGTTTTCATGAATAAAAGTCCCCCAAAATTTGCTAGAGGAATTATTCAATACTTCTTTAATTACATAGTCTTATCATTAGCCTAAAATCACTGATGATGTGAAATTATACAATCCATTTTCTTAAGGTTTGCCATCAATATTAACATTTTTCAGTATATATTTTCAATGAATTTTTGTGCATTTCACACAATACACCTTCATTATATTTAGACCCCTCTCTTATCTTCATCCCCCTATAGCTCACATAAGATCAAGCTAGAAAACTGAAATTAATATATCGTTTTTCAGCAAACAGTTTTAGTATAACATTCCATTCCATTTGACAGGTTAGTGCTTTCATATTTCCCAATTATAATCTTAAGACTTTAGTATGAAGATCACTTAATGTACATTTGTACAGTTCTGTGATTTTTGAACAATGTATACTCCCCACCTTTCCACGTATGATAGGACCATCATTTCACATGTACCTTTTCCATACTCTATGATATTAAATATTCTGGCAAATCAAATCAAACAGAAACTCAATCCAAGAATGACACTATTTATTGCCCTTTTTGTTAAAATGTATATTTTAACACACCATATATAGAATTTCAAAAGACATTCTGAATATATACCCGTAGAAACATAAAGCATGTAGTCCTGATATTTAAACACACAGTATGACTGTAATGTAGTGACTTTTATATACCAATGTGTTTTATTTATCTATAGGTTAAATGATGCTTGAGAGAAACTGAAATAACTTATAAATGGCTCTGTTCATATCAACTTATCATTGAATAAAATACAATTTTTGAAGATAAAGTCTTAAGATGTTTAAAATACTTTCTGTTAGATTTTTACAGAACTATGTTTTGTTATTGTAATTCATACTTATTTATGAGACTCAGAAATATTAGTGTATTCCATATTAAATATTATTGATTTGTCAAGTTTTTGCCTATGAAGCCAGTATATGTGAGAATTTTTCCCTTTAAACTTGGATTTCTTCTTTTCCTCTTTGGGTAAATTGGAGCAAATACTCTGAGTACTGATTTTACCAACTGTCAAATATTTATTAAACAATGGTTTTATTTTTACTTAATCATGTGCATGTTCTGTATATGAGTTCTGTATTTATGATAAAGAGGGATATATTTGTCATTAATTTTTAAAGTATTTTCTGTTAGAATGTATCTCAGGTTAGCACGTCTATTAGACATTCATTTTTCTTTCACTAGATAGGTTTGCTTAGCACTCTAATGTAGTACTAATTAATTCACAAAAAGGATGTAATTAATCTTTCCCTGACAACACATTTTGATTGATCTTCTACCATAATCTAATTAATTGGTGTAAAGAGTGGGAGACTGTTTTGATTGACTGAAGTACTACTTAGAGAACTGCCAAAATTAGCTTGTTGGCTAAGATTGTTGACAGAACATCACAAGGGTAATTATGAATTGAACTTTTCATTAGGTAAATATTTAATCCTAAAGGTCACCAACTGATAATTTTTTTAAAACATAGGAAACTTTAAAAGGATCTCCTAGCAATGCATCATTAAAAGCTACTCCTTCATAATTAAGTACATTAGGGATCAGTAATCCAAAAGGAGAATTAAACAACCCAAATATTATCCCAGGAAATTTTTGTTACACTAGTACTGTAAGGATAGAGACACTAGCTGGAGGAATTATTCTAAT